AATGCAGCTTTGACTGGGGAGCCACATCCAAGGCGAGCTTGTGAACTACTGCCTTGAACGATTTCTTCGGGATGGACAGGTAGTTGTCTATACTTTGCAGATCATGTATCTGCTGCTCCACCAGTCGCCGGTTGATCTTGACGGGGTACTTCTTACTCGAGGCACAAGACGACCCCGAAGACGACCCCGAAGACGACCAAGGCGAAGCCGACGAAGACGACGGCGAGCTCTGAACCTCACACGTTGGTCACCATTCAGAGGACAAGGTGCAGAACGACACTTTGCATTGTAACTGTAACGTCTTGCGTACTCTGCAGTCACAGGAACATTGGAACGCCGAGGGGGTGTGCAAGGCGAAGGCGAGCTGTTGACCTCACATCAGAAGAATCTTGTCAACAGTGCTTGTCAATTGTCTGTGAATTTCCAGTCCTGGAACCAACTGATTGCAGAAGCGGCACTTGCAGCTCTGCTTGCTTGCCCGTCTTCCGTGTAGCCTCATCTTGGTCAGGAACTAAGTGACAGGTCCAGAGCGAGCGTTTCGGCCAGAGACGCATACTTGCGAGCAGAGCACAACCACCCTCTGCTTCTCTAGCTGGCCTGTCTTCCGTGTGGCCTTAGATTCAGTCAGTACTTCGCACAAGTTCTAATCTAGCAACAATAAATGACAAGACTGGCTTACAACCACGGCACTCCAGCTTCCTTGCCTCTGTTCCGTGTTGCCTCAGCTGTTGCAAATTTCCTCTGAAATTTAAACACACAGAAGCAAGTGCGTCTCGAACAAACTGGCAAGGCACTCGCACCATCTCTGCTGGATTCTACCCCGGTGGACACTGACTCGCACGGTCCAGCAATGAACCCAGAGCAAACAAATGCTGCAGCACATGCTTCGATTCCTGCTGCTTGCTCACACAACGGCAGCCCAATATGAGACACACGGACTTCTAAACCCAGGTGCCAGACTCTCTGATCGCCAATGGCCTCATGCGCCAGAAGCTTGCAGGATTTATTGCAACTCAGATTTCGGCAGAATGACTACTCAGCCTTGCCAGTCACACCAAGTCGAGACTCCACGGCCAGGACCTCGGAGTCATCTCGGTGCCAAATGTGCACGTCACGACCCCATGTTCACATGCACTGGACTCGATGCTTTACTGGACCTAAGCATGTCGAGCTGCGGAATCTGGGGTACTCTACAGGAGTGCTTGGACGACTGTCGAATCCAAGGCCCCGGCTTAGATCTTGTTTGCAATAATGAGAGAAGATGGCTGCTGGTCAGACCTGGCAGTAAAGTGTATCTGCAGATGTGCGAACTAAGACGACTGGCACTGGCACCTGCCGAGGGGCAGACAAAAAGAACATCTCGTCGGCCAAAGACCTCAACTCCAAGGGAATGGGGTGTGACCAAGGAATCAGGAAAGCGCAAATAGCTGAGCAAAGCATTTCTTCACTTTTGGACCACTTTGTGCTGCAATCGAGGTCTTTCGCTGGAAGAGCCTGGAAGACTCGTGGTCTTGCGAGCCATGCAAAAAAACCAGTCTTGACTAAACTATTAATTGGTCCTGTCCTTTGTGTTCTAATGTAGTTCAGGCTTCGGCACGGCTCGCAAGAAAGCTGGCCAGAAACTTACCTGTGCCAGCTCCACTTCTTCCAATTGTCGTCATACCACACCCACTCCCAATCTTCCCACCAACTATTCCAAGACCAGAAGCCATCCTGCGAGCTCTGGTGCGAAGACGAAGTCGACTGGTGCCAAGACGAAGTCGACTGCGACGGATGCTGGGAAGATGCGGCAGCCTGGTGCTGCTGGGACGAAGACGACGAAGGCCCTCCCTGTCCTGGTCCGTCTCCTGGTCCTTGTGAACAGGAGAATGATTGACTCCATAAATCGTCAATGACAAAGTAATTAGAAGCAAGAAAAATTTGCAAAAGGAAGAAGTCGGGCATAATCCAAGAAGCGAAAAGTCCTCACATTCAAGCGGGACATGACATGAAATTGCACGCTGGCGGACGCATTGCGGAACACTTCGTCGAGGGGACAGTTGCCCTTCTTGCTCCTCTCCCTGAGTTAACGGCCAAGGCAATCAGATAGTGAGGTTTCAAACAACTTCTTTTCATAGACATGATAATTCATTAAAACATCCGATTTTCTACTGATGAAATGCCGCCCGAGCTTCCGAAGAATATGGGCCATAAATTCCCGGGCTTTCGTCTTGTCTTCTTCGCACAATGCTGCCATCCCCTGGACTGAAGCAAAACAGACCATCTGTTTGAATATTGAAGCAGGCAACAACTGAGTCCATGCTTGCAGGCAAGTCACGGCCCAGGCACTGTCATCGATGTTCATCTGGATCATCAGCTCGAAGAGCTCCGGCGTGTATTTTCTGACCATTCGCTGTGCCAGTGTGAGGTCCTCCTCCTCAGACTCTTCCTCGCCGTCACCATCGTCGTCATCATCATCAGCAGGCGGCGGCTTCCCCGGTGGCGGAGGCGGCGGAGGACCAAGAGACTCCAAAAACTTCGCCGTGTGCGAAGGCCAAGACGGACATTTGTTCTTGCTGCCACTTGGGGGCGGCTGATCATCATCATCATCATCATCCGGTAATGACGACTCCTCCTTCTCGAGAAATTTTTTCTTGTCGTCCTTGTTCTCGTCCTCCTCCTTCTTCTCGTCCTCCTCCTTGTTCTCGTCCTCCTCCTTGTTCTCGTCCTCCTCCTTGTTCTCCTCCTCCTTGTTCTCGTTGTCATGGTTCTCCTCCTTGTTGTCCTCCTTCTTCTCGTTGTCATCGTTCTCCTCCTTGTTCTTCTCCTCCTCCACGTCCGCCTTTTCCTTTTTTTTTTTTACGGTCCTCCGTCTTCGGCGTTGAGGTCTGGATGTTCATGTGGAAGACGGTGTTCAAGAACCTGAGGAAGCAGGACTAATTAAAGGAAGAACACGTTGAATTGATTGAACATTGACTATGCAGCCCATCGGCCTCCTTTCCGCCTCTGTTTGGATATTTTTTATCGCAGCTGTGATCTTCTTCGACTCTGCGAAGCTTGGAATGTCGTCCATGTCTGAGTAGAAGGCAGATTTTCCCGGCACCCATAGCGAAACCATAAAGCACCAGCCCACCACCATCGCAGTAGCGACGGAACGAAGGCGACCATCCCCGCCTAAGTACCAAGCAGTGTCTGACTCGACATGGTGCAACTCACTCCTAGGACCAGTGACTGATCGCCAAGTTGCACGTGAGGATGATGACGTGGGCCTTGTCGTCTCGTCCTTCCTTGGCGGCGCAGATGCCCATGACCTGGGTGGGCTCAGCATTCAACATTCCCAAAAAAAGGAAGGTCTCTGTCCAAGCACACGGAATCAGCCGAGATGCCACGCACAGCACTGACACCATGGCCTCGGAGCCCTCCAAGATGAGCTTGTAAAAGTCATTTTGTGAACTCAGAGGGTCTCCTTGGCCGGATCAGAAAGCAAGGAAGTTTGGCACCAACGCAACAGCTCAAGTAAATTGCCGCCAAGCTTCCGCCATGGAGGCTGTCGGGGAGCTCCCCCGGCCACAGCCGCTGGACGTCCAGCAGGCAAACGGCCGCTGTCGGCCAGTAGCTCTTCGCGTCATCTCAGCTTCTGCTATAATACAGGGAACTCCAGAAAGTTGGAATATGGTTTAATGCTAGGATACCCTATAATTTACCATAGAAGAGTTAGGATAATCATATTCCAACTTTCTGGCTTTTACCTTATTACAAAAAAAAACCTTGGCCTACCTGAAGGAGGACGCTTTGTTAATTTCAGTCCAGATGCAGATGTGCGTCGGGTTGTTGCCGTGCGCCGCGACGATGCAGCAGTCGAGCTCGACGCACAAATACGTCGTCATGACGAAGGCGAAGACGACGAAGGCGAAGAGGACGAAGGATGACGCCAAAGGCGACGAAGGCGAAGGCGAAAAAGGCGAAGACGACGAAGGTCCTGGGATCGCGGAATTTCGCATGAAATGAAATACTTACATGCTCTCACTGCAAGGTCACGTGGCAGGCTTCTTCTCTCGACGCTGGGCTCCTTCTCTCGACGCGGCCGTCCAAGCCAGGGACAGAAAACGGCTAAAATTCTGCTGCTTCTGCCGGCTAAATCATCAATTCCAGTGACACTGTTTCATAACGACATCAGCCTACTCTTCTATTAAGAATTAACTCGGCTTCAATGTCCTGGTATAGAATGCTGCATGCGTAGACATGTGCATGTGCTCACTCCCTCACTTGAGCAATGATTAAAAAGCTGGCACAAACCAAGGACATTCATTCATGCAAGTGCCCGAACTGACTGACTTGGCACGAAGCAGCATCTACTCAGTCCCGAACCATCTGTAATGACTGATGTGCATGGCCAAGGTGTCATCCAACCTGGCGGCAGACAATGTGAGCGGTAATCATGACATTGCTCTGAAGCATTTTGTCGGCATGCCTCTTCGAGCTGCTCACTTCAACTTCGCACATGACATTGTAGGAACGAAGCAGCATCTACTCAGTCCCGAACCATCTGTAATGACTGATGTGCATGGCCAAGGTGTCATCAAACCTGGCGGCAGACAATGTGAGCGGTAATCATGATTTCAGCAACCCCTGGTTATCATCATTGTTCAGGATTGCTCTGAAGCATTTTGTCGGCATGCGTCTTCAAGCTGCTCACTTCAACTTCCCACATGACATTGTAGGAAGCGAAGGCGAAGACGAAACAAAGGCGAACGCCCAACGAAGGCGAACACCAATTCAAAAAAAAGCCTAGGCCGGGCCTTTGGGATTGCCCTTGCCTTTGCCTTTGTCGCTACCTCTGCCGGGCCCTCCCAGGTGCTCGGGAAGCGGCCGCCACGGCTTCGGAGGGCCTCTCAGGCCATGCAGCTGGCTGGTGGTGCCCCCCTTAGCGATTCTGGGTTATGTAGCAAGTCATGTTACTTACCTACAAATAGAATATAAAACATAAAAGTTTATTGTTGTAAATAAAATACCAAGTCTGCTCAGGGAACGGTCGTCGCTGACTGAACATACCTGGCATAGATCGCGAGCTCGGGAGTGTGGAAGGCGTATAACGCCTCCCACTGGGCGAACTCCGCGATCTGCCGCTGCATGAACTGACATGGGCACGCGAAACCAGCCCCTAGAAATTGAGGCTGACTCAAAGCCGATCATAGTAAGTACAAGTCCTTGGAACCTTATTTAGTAAGTTGAAAGAACCAGGCCCTGCCTGAAGGCTGTCACGCGCCTCTCCAGGTGTTCTGGGCGTCGGCGGGAGGGCGATGTTCAAGGACTGCCGGTCCAGCCCATGGTCTTGGGCGGTGGCATAGTTGTCGCTTGACAACATCCACACCACTCGAGTCTTGATCGCCGCCAGCTCATTCATGGCCTGTGTCCACAAGCTGAAAACGTCCCCCGGGGGGGGGGAACTGGACAGCACGAAGACGAAGCCGACGAAGGCAGCGAACTCGAAGCCGGAGGCGCCTTCGACGAAGCCGGCGACGAAGTCGAAGCCGGCGGCGAAGTCGAAGCCGGCGGCGGAAGCGGCGGCGGCGGAATGGGAGCCGCCGCCATGTCGGCACCCAGACCTGCCTCCGCCGGCAAGACAGCAGCTGCAGGAGCTTTGGCAGCGATTGGTGTGGCACCAACTGGAGTACTGCCTGGGATTTGAAGTTCCAAATCCGCATGCCTGGCCTTTATATTAATTATTGACTGTTTTTAATCTTACGAAGCAGCAAACATACAAGTTAGAAGAGCTTGACCTGATTGAATGCCAAGGCACTAGCCTTGCCCTGCTGCTGCTGCTGCCATCTCGCCCTCTTCACGCTCCGGTTCGACGTTGGATCCTGGATCTAGAAGATATTGGGCAATTCAATTGAATAGGGCAAAACGGTGAGGGGTAATATAACGGCCTGTGGGGGAAGGACAGCTCAGCCCTTACGCGAACACTCTTGCTAGGAAATATGAGAAAAATGACACGTAAATCAAACCTGGTCTCTCTGGGCTGTGGCTCCTTCGGCTTCGCCTTCGAAGGCGAAGCCGAAGCCGCTGCACCCTTGGCCTCTGCCTTGGCCGTCGAAGACGAAGGCGAAGCCGCTGGACCCTCGGCCTTCGAAGGCGAAGGCGAAGCCGCTGGACCCTCGGCCTTCGAAGGCGAAGGCGAAGCCGCTGCTGGAGCCGCCTTGGCCGCTGCATCCGAAGGCGGCGAAGACGAAGGCGCCGAAGGATCAGGCGCATGCTTGGGCTCAGAGCCAGCAGTGGCACCATCTTCGCCCTTTCGCTTGCGAGGCATTACTACAAAAAACTGGAATAACCGGCCTACGTTAACTACTGAGAACTTGTATTACAAACCCTGGGTTCTAACCCGCTTCAGACTTCAAGGCTTTGCTCTGTGGAAAAGGTGGTGAGCTCTGTCTGACGTGAAGAATCCACTTTGACCTTACAATGTTCTGCTGACTCCACCAAAATAAACTACACGAGCTTCAGACTTCACGGCCTTAAATGGCCCAATCAGCTACACCTCGCTTGAACCTTCCAATGCCAGAAATCATGGTCTTCGCACATGTCGGAATCAACAGGAGAGTCTCATGGATAGGCTGGTCCCGAGTTTGACTTTATTTACAGATCTATCTACCGGGACATCTAGACATTACTGGGTTTTTGACCACGGCAAGAATACAGAAGCTTCCAAGACCATCCCTAAATCCTGCGGAATCTGATTCTTTGAGCAAAACCCTGCATCTACTCAGAAGGGGATTTCGTGTCCAAGGGTGCTGAAGATCAATTCAATGGCCCAAGTGGTTCCAGGGAAATCCGGGATTAGAATGGCAATCGATGTGGAACCCGATTACGCCTCTGCAACTTTAGGAAGGGTTTGGGGTCTTCACCCGAAATATGGTTTGGGGAGCATAGGGGCAAGGCAGGTCGTGGTGCGAGGAGGCAGCTTCTGATTCTTAGCGTGCGAGCTGAGTTTCACGGTAGCTTTTTCTTACCTCCTCAACCCTAAACCCTGCCTAAACCCTAAACTCTTTCCTGGACGAATGCGACAGTCAGTGGCCTTGACGAAGACGAAGTCCGAGTAAGTGACGATGGCAATTCATTGCAGGACCTGGCAGGAGCTTGAAGGTATAATATGATTGCCTGCAAACACACTGGCCTTGACGAAGACGAAGTCCAACTAATGTAAGTGATGACCTCAAACTCTAGACCAGGCGGGAGCTTCAAGGGATAAGCTTGCTGAATGCACACTGGCCTTGACTGACGACCGCAAATGCAGGACCTGGCAAGTGTGCAGTGAGGTCGGTAGTCGCAAACCAAAGAAACAGTGCTAGTATATGTGATAGCTGAACACATACCCGAAGTCGTTTGCAACGACTGTCCCCAAGCTCAGGCTCACACGACTCTCCGGACTGGCACAGCGGCCAAAACGGCGGCACATGGCAGCCTGCACGCGGACCCGGGTGATTCCAGACACCAGGGGGGTCCTACAGGGGTCTGTGACCTTCTTCGATGATCGCAAGGGATGCAGGTTGGGAAGGAGAGGGCTGGGAAAGTGGCCTCGAGGCTGCAACATGACATGCTACTTCCTACGCCTAGTGGCTGGCCTAAGGTGGCACCGCCTTACCATGGACATGAAAAAAACGGGTTCGCATGTGCCTATCTTAAGCTCACTCGCCTTTGTTGATTAATCCTAATGGGGCTGGGGCTGGGCTGCTACTGCTAGGCAAGGTTAAGTAGGGAAGCCCCCAAACGTGTCGGCCGACGACGGCTGCCGGCAGCAGCCAGCGAAGACGAAGGCGAAGCGGCCGCAAACCCCAAATGATCAGAATCAGTAATAAGGTCTTATGGACGAGTGAGCAATCAAAGGGTGCCACCGTAATTAATCCAGCCCCTACTAATGTCTTCCCCATAGTCCCCATGGACTAAATCACTAGGGGGATTACCTCGAGCAGGCATGGGAGTTTAAGGTTGGGTTTAGGTTGGGCCTACGCCATGCACGAGACATGTCCATGCCAGCCCGGTCCTGGGCGTTGGTTCACTCCCCTTGCAGGAGATCAGGAGCCCGCAGGCAGTGCAGCGCATGACGCCAACCTGAGGGTTGTCCCCGCCAGCGCAGTGGCAGTGGTTCCCAACAGTCGAAACATCGGGGAACATGCCGCTTTCCATGTCTTGGAGGCTCCGTGGTTCCTCGCTCACCATGGTTGCCTGCCGCTTCTCGGCTTGGCTCTGTTGCCCTGGGCTAGAAGCTTGGACCGAGCATGCTCCGGTGCTCATGGACCCACTAGCGTCTGAGCAGGTATACGCTCAGGTAAAGAGGGTCACCATGGAGGTAGGCGCTATCTTGTTGTCGGCGGAATGGCTGTCCAAGTCCTTTCGGATGGTGCGATGTACCTGCGACTGGCTGTCCACCACTTGGAACTCCTCGACGTGCCCGGACTCGGCCGCCAAGTGAAAAGGCGTTGTGTGGTCCAGTGGTTGGCCGCCAACAGCTGACGCCTATAACCCTGAACAATGGAGCCACCCGCCGGAAGCCGAAGTGTTCCCAAGTCAAGCAACCTCCCCTGGGCAACCCTCCCCACTAGAACTAAGGAGGACATCCCGCAGTGGTAGTTGTTGTGTCAAAAAATTGCTTTGTTTTTGCATTCTTTGCATGCAAGTCCTCCTGCCTATTTCACCAGAAGCTTGGAACCTGGCTCCGAAACCCGTCCAAATCCTGCTTAGGGTTTAAAACTTTAGGGCAGCGGTTCAGGATTGAGTGATTTCTCTTTGCGGTGGCATAGGTACAATAGTTAACGGGTTTGAAAGGGCAAACACACAACAACATAACGGGGTTTCTAATATGACACTGAGAATGACAATGGTGATTGGGTCAAGGCTTTGTGTGTGCGAGCATGCGTCCCCTGGCTGCCTGTACATGTTTAGGGCCCCATTGACCATGGGCATGGTCGGGGTTTAATGTTGTCTGTATGTGCGCAGAAAACCAATCCCACTCCGAAGAACCTGAAACCTCCGCACTGAACCGGAAGGACTCAACCCAAGCATTGATCCGGTCCTAGACCTCCCTTACCAACATCCAAACGCCAGAACCTGAATTAAATCACGACAGGAACCAGTGACAGGAACCCTGATACCCTAAGTAAACAGGAACCCAAAACCCAAAAACGACCCAGAGCCCCAGAAATTAGTGCAAGTAGTTAACGGGTTTAGGGTTGAGGGTTGAAAAGCTTCGGGTGTTCAGGGTTCCAAGGAAGAAAAGCCCTCCAAACTTGGGGTTTAAAGGGTCTACGGGCTTTAGGGTTGAGGCTTCAGGGTTTTTAGGCTTCAAGGAAGAGCCTCTGGTGACAAATCCCCGGCCTCGCCACGGCAGCCCAATCCTCCGCCCAAAATCAGCTGTTCCGGCCTGAGAGTGACGACGGGGTCTGTGCGGGGGTCTGACGATGTCCGTCATGGGGCCCAGTACGCCGAACCAAATCAATACGTACAACAACAGAAACCCCAAGCCCCAACCAATGCCACGGGTTCACGAACACTGGTACATCACTTCTGTAGCTGCC